AGAGTTTTTCATTAGCGTTATTTTTATTTAACAATTGCCGTTTAGTATAAAAATACCAAACGCATTTTGCTAAAAATTGCTAAAAAGCAACTTAGATTTTCAATAAAATAAATGATATCGAATATTGATATTATACTCGTATTTATCAAATAAATATTTACATATGATTCCTTTTATGAGTGATTACCACGTTTTGAGCTCATATTTTCTTTTTTTCCAGTGCTGTCATCCGTAGCCTCGTTGTTTCGAGCCATTACATTCTTAGATGATGAATTAATCTTTTTAATAGGATCACAGATTACGGATTCGTAAGCTGAAGTGGCAATGCGCCAGCAATATAGCTCGAAAAACCGACAACCGATGGGGAAAAAAGGTACTCGAGTGGCAGTCTCGTACCGGTAGGCGAAGTGTAGGTGGAGTGACCCACTAGATGGAGTGACGACCTGGTAAGACATGCTGGAAGTCGATGGATGCAAGTGGCTCAGGGCCGTGCTTTGTGGCATTCCTTGGGGAAGGCCTATATTCATTTGTAATGATGATGATGATGATGATAAGATTACACTTACCGGTGCTAATTTTATGTGTATAATTTTTTACGTGGAATTGCATTGTCCTTCAAATATCTTTTATGATTGATGGATAAGATGTCAGTCTGAAAAAATATTAGTTAAGCTTTCTTCAGATTCTATTCATATTTTTTATGTTCGTATCTCCAGGATAACTGCAAAAATGGTTTATGAAAAAAATATACCTTTTCTTATCGAAAAAGTACCATTAGTTTTAAATAGTAAAATATTGGTAAGCGAACATCAGGCAAGAGCAAAATCGGAAGAAAAAATATGAAAATAAATATTATGAAATTTTTTTTTCACTTTTAACAGAAAAGGGGTCTTTCAACCATGTTTAGGTGATTGGGCGTGAAGTGAACATAAAGTATGTAGTTATGATAATGAATCTAAAAACATTATTGAACATTTTCAATGATACCAATAAAACAGGGTTTTTCGACCAGGGACCCAACGTTTCTTTGATCATGGACCTCTTTGATTTTTTGTAGGTAGCAGGGAGTTATTTCCTACCTGTAAGTCATTCCCTCCTCACTTATCTAACTCTTTAAATACCCTTAATGAACCATTTTCAATAGCTGAACTGCAGTTAGTGCTTAGGCACCTAAAGAATTCCACTACTGGCATTGATGGTATTCCCTACTCATTTCTTATTAATATGAGTACTACATGTAAGCAGTTATTTTTAAGCATCATTAACTTTGCTTTTACATCCGGTTCTATTCCAAATGACTGGAACATATGCCGTTATTTTTTAAAAATGATCCAAATTCCCTGCTTGTAAACGGTGGACCTTGATCCGAAACTAGATCTACAGGCAACCCAAATCTCGCAAACATACAACGAATTTTTTGTTTTGTTTTGCTCCATTTCTACGATTTCCAACCATTTGGAATATGAATCGATTAAAACAAAAAATGTTTTAAAAATTGGGCCTAGAAAATTATCATGGACCCTGGTCCAAGGTTGAGATGTGTATGGCCATGGGTGTGGAGGATACCGTGATGGTGCATCCTGCTCCCGCGAACATGTCTCGCAATTTCCGCACGTCGCTTCAATCTCTTCGTAGATGTGTGGCCACCAAACATAGCCTCAAGCACAACTAGTAGTTTTAACTATACCCATATGTCCGCTATGTAATTGCTTTAAAATTAATAACCGTAAACTAGTAGGTATAACAATCCGATAACCCCACATCACATATCCACACTCGACATACAACTCATACCGTCGCGTGAAGTAAGGTTTTACCTCGTCAGGACAAACCGTAGGCCAACCTGATTAAATATATTATTTTCTTCTACTGAGGAGTATATCTTTGGCGGTAGCCTTTCTTACGTCATCATTCGTATTTTTTTATATGATAGGGTGACAAACGAGCACACAGTTCACCTGATGGTAAGTGGTTACTGTGACCCATAGATATCTACATCTATCCTCAATAAGGACTCAAGATGCAGATGCGTTGTCACCCGTGAGGACTAAGATGGAATGCCTCTTTGCCAGTAAAAAGGGTCTCCGGTTCTCTATACTCACCATACGAAACACAGCAGCGTTAAGCTGCTATTTTACGCCGGTTTTCTGTGAGAGCGTGGTTCTTCCCCGGTCGAGCCGACCCATTCGTGCTATAACTATACTACTAATATAGCTGCAGCATGGCTCTACCACGTTAAAAACGTAAAAAAACGTAATTGGTAAAAACTGTTCAACAAAGTTAAGATACTTTATTTCATTAGTGGTATCACTCGTACGTGCCTCCGATGGTAACCGAGACAAAGCATCTCCACAATTTATCACTGAAACAATATATTCTATATCATAATTATAACCCCACAAGTATGTAATGCCCATCGCTGCAAACGCGCTGCCGCCATTACTGGTATACCAACTTTATGACCGAAAATGTATGTCAAGGGCTTGTGGTCTGTTCGTAGTATAAATTTCCTACCATACAAGTACTGATGGTACTTTTTGATCCCAAAAATTTTCGCAAGACCTTCTCTATCTATTTGCGAGCAACTTCGTTCAGCCGGAGAGAGTGAACGCGACGCATATGCCACCGGCCGCTCACCATGCGGCGTAATGTGTAAGAACAGCACCAATACCCATACTACTCGCATCTGCCGTCAGTACTAGAGGCAACTCTGGCGAATAATGAATTAACACCTCACCGCTTGTCAAACTTGTCTTAAGGCAAGCAGCAAGCTTAGCTTCGCAGGATATTTGATAACACCTAACCCAATGAAAGTGGACTCCCTTTTTCAATAGCGTATACAGTGGTAAGGTGCTTACGTTTTTTTATGAATTTTGCATAATACATAACCATCCATATAAACGATCTTAGTTCATGAAAATTTGACGGAACTGGTGTGACTATGATAGCTTTAATTTTATTGGAACAAGTGTGTACGCCGTCTTTACTTATCACGTGTCCCAAATAATAAATAGACTCCGCAAAAAACTCGCACTTCCCCTTCTTAACCTTGAGTCCGTTTTTCTTCAACCTTTCGAATACCTTGTACAAATTATTTATATGTTCCGCTGTCGTTTGTCCAGTAATAATAACGTCATCTAGAAAGACACCTACCTGAGGTATATCTGCAGACATTTCCTCCAATCGACGTTGAAAAATCTCCGGACTAGATGAAATGCCATAAACTAAATGATTGTATACAAACAGACCTTTCATCATCATCATCATCATTACAGCCCTTCACAAGTCCACTGCTGAACATAGGCCTCCCCCAAAGAATGCCACAAAGCACGGTCCTGAGCCACCTGCATCCATCGACTTCCTGCATATCTTACCAGGTCGTCACTCCATCTAGTGGGGGGACGCCCTACACTTCGCCTGCCGGTACGAGGCTGCCACTCGAGAACCTTTCTTCCCCATCGGTTGTCGGTTCTTCGAGCTATATGGCCGGCCCATTGCCACTTCAGCTTACTAATCCGTTGGGCTATGTCGGTCACTCTGGTTCTACTGCGAATATCCTCATTTCTGAGTTTATCACGCAGAGAAACTCCGAGCATAGCCCTCTCCATAGCTCGCTGAGCGACCTTGAGCTTCCTCATCCGGCCAGCAGTGAAGGACCACGTCTCAGTTCCGTATGTCATCACTGGCAACACGCACTGGGTGTACAGTCTCGTTTTCAAGTTTTGAGGTATACCTGACGAGAAGATGTGCCGTAATTTCCCGAACGCTGCCCAACCGAGTTGAATCCGTCGATTGACCTCTCGGTCGAAGTTGGACTTACTAGTCGGATTATTTGTCCCAGGTAAACATACTCGTCAACAACTTCGAGCTTAGTGTTCCCAACAACTACCGGCATAGGTGTGACATGGACATTAAACAGACCTTTATGTGTATTAATTACAGTATATTTTTTTGTATCATCCAAAACCATTTGATCGTACGCTTGAGAGAAATCAATTTTGCTAAAATGCTTTCTTCCGTTTAGCCTAACCAAAAAATCCTCAATACGGAGAAGGGGATAACGATCAACTTCTAAAATTTTATTAACTGTTAATTTATAATTAGCACAGATTCTAATGTTACCATGTTTTTGAGCACCGGTATCATCGATCACTAATAAAAAACGTAACGTAATAAGTTTTTTATTAGTGATCGATGACCGGTACAATAGGCGTAGCCCAATCGGAACGTTCTACCGGCATGATGATGCCATCTCGTACGTGCTGCTCGAGCGCGCGCTCCACAGGCTCGCGCAGCGTATACGCCAAGGACAGCGCACGCATATACACGGGTCGTGCACCCTCGCGTATATGAATGCTAACCGGTGGGTCGGTTAAAATTTGAATTTATCACATCTTAACTATTTAATTGTTGGTAATCATAATTAGGCAATTTAATTTTTAACTCAGCTAACCACTATCTACCGAGCAGTGCCGTTTTGCCATCTTTAATTACATAAAGTTCGATCGGAGCATTTCGATCGGTTTCCGTAAGTAACAATAGGTGTTATTAACCCTACCGGCCGTATAGTTTCACCGGAATAATATCTTAACATAAGCTTACACGTTTTCAATTTTAATTTACAAAAATATCTATTATACATATGTAAACTGATGCAAGAAATCGCACTACCTGTATCAATTTCCATGTTAATAATATTATTTTCAATTTTAATCGGTGTAATTATAGGCGTACACTGGTTTATTGTTAATTTATTTAATTCAATAAAAATTACCTCATCTTCGTCGTCGTTCTATTGTTCTTTTTCTTTTTCTATTTCGTTCGCAACCACACAGTGCTGTTGCGATGTCGCTTAAGCGCTTATTACATTATTCAATTTTTAGGAAATCTAATTAGGAACCTAAGTTGGAAGCTAGTGATCACATTACACTAAATTGAATTCTAAATCGTGACGAAGCACATTCGTAAAAGAAGTATCGACGGGGTTGCACGTTTGATCGATGGCGCCGTATTTATCAAAACAGTAGAAAATAGGACTTGCCTTAGCCGTGGTGGGAACAATGGATATTAAAAAAAGAAAAAAGAGAAAATGCTGGCTTAAATAATACTTGTCATTGAGAAAAAAACTGTCCAATATGAATATAGTGCATATTTTGGAACCTGGCGACTTTTGAAATTTTTTAAGACTTGATTCTAAGCAATTTGATTATTTGTTAAACTTGGTATCCAAACATATTGAAAAAGAAGTCACGATATTTCGAGAAAATGTGAGTGCCAAAGAACGTTTGATGGCGACATTACGTTTTCTAGCCACCGGAAATTCATATCAAGATTTAAAGTACTGCTCTCTGATATCAGAACCGCTTCTATCAAAACTTATTTCAGAAACATGCTGGGCAATATACAAATGTTTGAAAAATTACATACAGGTGTATTAATCTATAATCTATAAATAATAAAATCGTGAAGGGGTCGGTCTCTGTACAATGAAAATATTGGGAAAAAATGCATTCAGGGTAACTCAAGACTGGTAACAGAATGCATTGAAATTTGAAACCATTTTTGGAATTTTTATCTGTTTGTGTGTTTATCTGTCTGTCTGTTTAAACATGATAAACTTGAAAACTACGGAACCGATTTATATTAAAATTGGTATGAAAAATGTATAAGCTCCAATTTAACTTATAGGTCGAAAACCTCCTCGTCCCCGGTCGAGACCTCTGATGCAGTAAAAATGTTAGTATGTAAGAGAGGTCAACCTAAACCGGACATTCAAATCTTGACCATGATTGGTGTTGAATTTTCTTCGTTTTCGGATGAAGCGAAAGTAGTATTTGGGAATTGTGACTGTGTATATAGTGGTGATGAGTCAAGGAGTAATTGCAGATGATTTTGTTGTAGTAGTGTATTATCAGGTAAATCTTGTTGAAGGCGTGGAGACGGCGTAGGCAGCGGTGCTTGCTGGTGGTGTTGCGGAGACGGCGTGGGCAGCGTGGATTGCAGGTGGTGTTGCGGAGACAGCGTGGGCAGCGGGGATTGCAGGTCGTGTTGCGGAGACGGCGTGGGCAGCGTGGATTGCAGGTGGTGTTGCGGAGACGACGTGGGCAGCGGGGATTGCAGGTGGTGTTGCGGAGACGGCTTGGGCAGCGGGGATTGCAGGTGGTGTTGCGGAGTCGGCGTGAGCAGAGGGGATTGTAGGTGGTGTTGCGGAGAAGGCGTGGGCAGCGTGGATTGCAGGTGGTGTTGCGGAGACGGCGTGGGCAGCGGGGATTGCAGGTGGTGTTGCGGAGACGGCGTGGGCAGCGGGGATTGCAGGTGGTGTTGCGGAGACGGCGTGAACATCGGGGATTGTAGGTGGTGTTGCGGAGACGGCGTGGGCAGCGTGGATTGCAGGTGGTGTTGCGGAGACGGCGTGGGCAGCGGGGATTGCAGGTGGTGTTGCGGAGACGGCGTTGGCAGCGTGGATTGCAGGTGGTGTTGCGGAGACGGCGTGGGCAGCGGGGATTACAGGAGGTGTTGCGGAGACGGCGTGAGCAGCGGGGATTGCAGGAGGTGTTGCGGAGACGGCGTGGGCAGCGTGGATTGCAGGTGGTGTTGCGGAGACGGCGTGGGCAGCGGGGATTGCAGGAGGTGTTGCGGAGACGGCGTGTGCAGCGGGGATTGTAGGTGGTGTTGCGGAGACGGTGTGGGCAGCGTGGATTGTAGGTGGTGTTGCGGAGACGGCGTGGGCAGCGGGGATTGCAGGTTGTGTTGCGGAGTCGGTGTGAGCATAGGGGATTGTAGGTGGTGTTGCGGAGAAGGCGTGGGCAGCGTGGATTGCAGGTGGTGTTGCGGAGACGGCGTGGGCAGCGTGGATTGCAGGTGGTGTTGCGGAGACGGCGTGGGCAACGGGGATTGCAGGTGGTGTTGCGGAGACGGCGTGGGCAGCGTGGATTGCAGGTGGTGTTGCGGAGACGGCGTGGGCAGCGGGGATTGCAGGAGGTGTTGCGGAGACGGCGTGGGCAGCGGGGATTGCAGGTGGTGTTGCGGAGACGGCGTGGGCAGCGTGGATTGCAGGTGGTGTTGCGGAGACGGCGTGGGCAGCGGGGATTGCAGGAGATGTTGCGGAGACGGCGTGAGCAGCGGGGATTGTAGGTGGTGTTGCGGAGACGGTGTGGGCAGCGTGGATTGTAGGTGGTGTTGCGGAGACGGCGTGGGCAGCGGGGATTGCAGGTGGTGTTGCGGAGTCGGCGTGAGCAGCGGGGATTGTAGGTGGTGTTGCGGAGACGGCGTGGGCAGCGTGGATTGCAGGTGGTGTTGCGGAGACGGCGTGGGCAGCGGGGATTGCAGGAGGTGTTGCGGAGACGGCGTGAGCAGCGGGGATTGTAGGTGGTGTTGCGGAGACGGTGTGGGCAGCGTGGATTGTAGGTGGTGTTGCGGAGACGGCGTGGGCAACGGGGATTGCAGGTGGTGTTGCGTAGTCAGCGTGAGCAGAGGGGATTGTAGGTGGTGTTGCGGAGACGGCGTGGGCAGCGTGGATTGCAGGTGGTGTTGCGGAGACGGCGTGGGCAGCGGGGATTGCAGGAGGTGTTGCGGAGACGGCGTGAGCAGCGGGGATTGTAGGTGGTGTTGCGGAGGCGGTGTGGGCAGCGTGGATTGTAGGTGGTGTTGCGGAGACGGCGTGGGCAGCGGGGATTGCAGGTGGTGTTGCGGAGTCGGCGTGAGCATAGGGGATTGTAGGTGGTGTTGCGGAGAAGGCGTTGGCAGCGTGGATTGCAGGTGGTGTTGCGGAGACGGCGTGGGCAGCGGGGATTGCAGGTGGTGTTGCGGAGACGGCGTGAGCAGCGGGGATTGTAGGTGGTGTTGCGGAGACGGCGTGGGCAGCGTGGATTGCAGGTGGTGTTGTGGAGACGGCGTAGGCAGCGGGGATTGCAGGAGGTGTTGCGGAGACGGCGTGAACAGCGGGGATTGTAGGTGGTGTTGCGGAGACGGTGTGGGCAGCGTGGATTGTAGGTGGTGTTGCGGAGACGGCGTGGGCAGCGGGGATTGCAGGTGGTGTTGCGGAGTCGACGTGAGCAGAGCGGATTGTAGGTGGTGTTGCGGAGACGGCGTGGGCAGCGTCGATTGCAGGTGGTGTTGTGGAGACGGCGTGGGCAGCGGGGCTTGCAGGTGGTGTTGCGGAGACGGCGTGGGCAGCGGGGATTGCAGGTGGTGGTATCGAGATTGTGTGGGAGAAGGTGATTCGTTGGAATTTGAGTTGGATAAAATAGTACGTAGAGGTGTTCGTTGATAAGCAAAGGATCCTAAAATTATATGAGAATCTTCGGTTAGTCTATCAAGGGTTGCATAATAAATAAACGTCTGATATTAATTTTCGACTAATGATAAACTGCCTTTTATTTAAGTCTCGAAATTGGTGTGCTATAGATTTCCCTAATACATCAAACGAATCATCTTCCATAGAAATCAACTGATTTGCTTTATCTAGTATCTTTTCTTGTTTTGAAATTAATGTATTTTTTCTCTTTTTTGATATTGTTCCGGATATATTTGTACTTTCATTTTCTTCGCCTGATGACAATGGTGATTCCTGAAAGATAATAAACAGTGATTATTTATGTTGCAGGTACCACAATCAGAAGAAGAGTGGAAAGCTATAGCAGCTCAATTTGAATCTAAGTGGAATTTCAACAATTGTATTGGGGCGTGTGATGGAAAACACATTGCCATTCAAAAACCACCTAGAAGTGGTTCATTATACTATAATTATAAAGGATTTTTCAGTGTAGTATTATTTGCTATCGTTAATGCCAACTACGAATTTATTTACGTACACACTGGTACTAATGGATCTGTTGGCGATGGATCTATTTGGAAATCAACAGGTTTTTACAAAAAACTTGAAAATAATGAGTTGGATTTACCACCTCCATCTATACTACCAGGCGCAGATATTTCAGTGCCGTATGTCTTTTTAGGTGACAGTGCTTTTGCTTTAAAAAATAATTTCATGAAACCATTTCCATTTAAAAATATTACCCACGACCAACGGATATTTAGTTATCGCTTGTCTCGAGCCCGCAGGGTGGATGAAAATACTTTTGCGATTTTGTCCTCAAGGTTTAGAGTATTTCGATCGCATATAGGTGTACAAGTTAATAATATGGATCCTATTGTCTTGGCATGCTGCGCGTTGCATAATTTTTTAAGAAAACAGACATTATCGTATATCATACCACGATACATTGATAGGGAAAATACTAAAAATTTCACATTTCATAAAGGGGATTGGCGAAATAATACCGAAGGGCTGTCTTCATTGCAACGAACTAGTGAAAATCAACGAAACAGTGAAGGAAGCGAAGTACGTAATACGTTCATGAATTATTTCAGTTCTGTAGGGTGTGTTTCCTTTCAGGAAAAAATGATTGAGATTGTGCGTATGTAAAAAACTGTCATATTTAAAAGTCATTTCAAAATATCACATATTATTTAATAATATAAAATATATATGTATACTTTTAATAAAATAAATCTTATTAACCTGCTATACCTTGTTGTTTTTATTTCTAATTTTATAATGTACTTACTTGTGAATCTACAGGTTGACGACATGGCTCCGCTGGAATAGCTAAAAAATTTAATGCATCGAAGTACCACAGAGTTGGTACATATATATTATCTGTTCCTGCTCCAGTTTGTCTTGATGCTTTGACCTAAAAGTAAATTGAATTTCTGGGCGTTTTTAATTTTGATAATCTCGCCTGTAAAACTTTACAGGCAATGACACATGGTTAGAGTATTGCTCTTAAAAAAATGCTGTGTTATTAACATTGGTTATAAAGGTTTTAAAGAAATATAATCGTATTAATCAATTATTTGAATGAAATTAAAGCGAAATTGATAGCTTGAAGCGTATTTTATATGTTTAAAGTATGTTTGTAACATTAGTGTATTATAAGATTTCTTAAGTTGTTGTTTGTAACATACCTAAGTACCTAGTTGCCTATAAGATTTTGTACGTGGTAGAGCCATGCTGCAGCTATATTAGTAGTATAGTTGTAGCACGAATGGGTCGGCTCGACCGGGGAATGACACGCTCTCACAGAATACCAGCGTAAAATAGCAGCTTAACGCTGCTGTGTTTCGTTTGGTGAGTGTAGAGAACCGGAGACCCTTTTTACTGGAAACGAGGCATTCCATCTTAGTCCTCACGGGTGACAACGCATCTGCATTTAGATTCTTAATCGAAGGTATATGTAGATGTCTATGGGCCACAGCAACCACTTACCATCAGGTGGACTGTGTGCTCGTTTGTCACGATTATCTTATAAAAAAAAAAATTACGCGCGAAAAACATAACCATTCCTTGACAGTCAAGTAGGTAAATATAAACAGTGTTTACCTTTTTTAATTCTCTGAAATATGTGGTTTTGAGGTTGTCTATTTTTTTCTTTAATGTTTTAATAGTTCGGTTTCTATCATAGTTTTTGTAAATATTTAAGCCTTGAAGCCCTCTTCACGCATTACTTTTTTTAAATAGTTCTTATCATTTTTATTATACAAATGGAGCATTTCCCTATACAGGTCTATAATTTGTATTAACACCTCTTTTTCTGTGGACATGCTGCCATACCAACCATTGCTCAATTCTGTCGCTTCAGTCGCCATCGCAAACAAATGTCGCACGCGCAGTCACGACATCCACTTTGGTCGAAGCGCGAGCGCCGACTGGTCGTGGTCGTTCTAAATCGTAACGTTGCGATTACACTGTCCTAAATTGTAGACAATTTAGAAAGTAGAGCGGTCGGGACATCCAACTTTAACTAAATCGGATCCTAACTGGTCTAACTACGATTACATTTTCCAACTTCCTAATTAGATTTTCTAAAAATTTAATAATGTAATAAATGCTTTAAGGCCGGACACATGCGCTTCAAATGTCCTTGTCTGTTGCAAACGCGGCATACATATTGCGTGAATTTACATGCCACCTCACTATGTGCACCTCCACACACGCGACACTCCTGCTGCCGTCACGCACGCGGCTGACCGCCCGCCGCCATTTCGTACAGCCCTCGCGCGCGTATTATATTTCCTATAGCTGTTCCCCGCGACTTCGTTCGCGTGTTAGGGTTTTTATGTTTCTGCGTGAAACCCTGATTCTTTTTCTAAAATAAAAGTGCCCTATGTTACTCCTTATGAAAACAGATATTTGCCAGTGAAAGTCCCGTCAAAATCGGTCCAGCCGTTTCGGAGATTACCCGGAACAAACAGACAGACAGACAGACAAAAATTTTAAAAATTGTATTTTAGTTATAGGTATCGTACTTACTTTCATATGCATTTAGTAAAAAACTGTAATTTTGACATTACAAACAGACACTTCAATTTTATTTATTTGTATAGATACATGCCGTGCGCGTATTCGCCGTCTCGGCCCGAGTTGTTGAGTGCCTCCCTGTAGCCCTGGTTATGACCTGGCAATCAGCTGATATAGCTGTATCGGATGACCGGCCGTGACGTTGTACTATCGCTGCATCTTTCTCGGCCGCCTCCATGCTAATTGCCATATTATATGCTTTTATGAAGTCAATCCCCTTTTCTGCAAACAGACGCTGGCGAATTACCCTACTATTTATTCCGCATACGAATTGATCTCGCAAGCTCTCTACTAGCCAACTACCGAAATTGCACGTTTTTGACATTTTCTTTAGAACTGCCACGTATTCAGAAACTTTTTCGTCACAACGTTGTTTCCTATGCCTGAACTTATATCGTTCTGCCAGTTCACTGGGCCGTGGTTATTCCATGTGTATTCCGTGTGTTTTTTCATAATTTCCGTAATTTGTTGAAAACTTTTAGTGCTAGATTTTTCTGGTGTACACAAATGAAATAAAAGTTCGTAACTTTCTGCACCCTGTCAAACCTAGACGTGTTAAGATAGGAAAGCAAACATTACGTACTTCTTAAGCCTTTAATGCGAGACTGCGGTGAGTGTTGCGATTCACAATGACGAAATATTACAAATTATTATTCTACTTATATTACAGCTTTTAAGGTTTTAATGTTATTTGCATTTATTATAAAACTGTAGATAATAAAATTTTCTACAACTTTTGTTCCAAGCATTTTTTTATACACTGAATCGTTTTTGAGTTATAGCTCTGGGAGCGCGCAGCGCTTTGCCATTCACTGCATAATGCAAAGCTTAACCGTAAATCCCGGTATATAATAACGCCTTATAAAGTCTATAGATGATTAAAAAATATAAAATGATGTATGAAAGTGTAAGTGTAAGTAATAGTAACAGCTTATGTTCAGTATTGGTCTGCTGATTCTGCTCATCATTTTTTTTTTTACTACACGAATAGTTCGTTTTAAAATAAAGTATTATATAGAAAAAAAGTATTATAAACAAATATAATATATTCGATAAATGAAAAAAAAAATACTGTGAATGGCTAAGCGCTGCGCGCTCTCCACGCTCTATCTAAATAAGGTTAATCGTATAAAAATATTTAGAACGCAAGTTGTAGAGAATTTTATTTTCTACGATTTTTATTACAAATTAAAATAGCACTAAAACATAGGAAGCGAGATATTTGCAGAAAAACAATTTCTGTGACCTTGGTCCTTGTACATCTAAAGACGCGGATACGAGATTTTATGAGACTTTTGGGGCAACATTTAGAATCCCAAAATAAAGGTTTAAAGAAGTTAACAGCTTATTATTTTTATTTAAAAAAATTATCTCCTATTCCGAGGTGAAAACCCTAATATGACTGGACTGTGTCGTGAAGCGACAATTAAAAAAAAAAAAAAAATAGAACCTAACCTAAGTACAACAAAACAACAAAAGTAGAGCCAGAAAACAATATATTTAAATTTATAAAAGGTTTTTACAATTTTATAAAAAAAATGAAGTGAGGATGATGATGGATGAAGTGAGAATACAATTAGATTATAAAAAAAATAAAGGTGAGAGAATAGGGGAATATAGCGTTGAAGTGGGGCCTAAAAGTCGAAGCGACACACGTTGCGTTTGTAGAAGTAGGTTTCTTAGCAGCGACGGCACGCAGCGCCTGAAGCCAGCACACGCCGTTTGGGCTTGTAGTGGTAGGTTTTCTTAGCAGCGACGGCGCGCAGCGACGGCGCGCAGCGCCTGGAGCCAGTACACGCAGCGTCCGGAGCCGGCGCACGTAGCGCCTGGAGAAGGGGCGCGCAACGCTTAAAACCAGCAGTTGCAGCGCCCAAAGGTAGCGCCGGCGGTAGGTGCACTCGGCGCCTGGAGTAAGTAGTAGTAGTGCCCGGAGTAGTGTGGCCCCCGCGCTTGTAGTAGACTCGAAGCGACTTCCGAGGTAGGTGGAGGCTTGTAGGATTCCGGAGTGGCGCGGCCCGAGTTTTAAGAAGGCTTCGCCGAAGACTTCACGTGTAAATGGAGGCTTGCAGGATCCCGGGGCAGTGCGGCCCCGGGATAAGGCCTTTAGGAGATACTTCTAATTCGCGAACTGAAGCGAGACTGCCTTTCTTCACCGATTGTTCGGCTTTTATACCTTTCTAGAGAGAACGGAAAAATTATTTAAATTATACGCAAATTTTTTGTAAATGGTCAAGAGAAAAGAGGATTTATGTGTAATTATCGAAATAGGAATAACAGGTCGGTAGCAAATTTGAATATAATTTCCATGGAAACGATATAAATAAGAAAGACAAAACATGTCAAATTTTTGTTTTTGGTTTATAATAAGAAAACTATAAGATTTAAGTGGAAAATGAGATATTATTGATATAGGAAAAAAGGTAGCGCAACTGCCCACACAAAGTCCAAGATTGTAGAGTTACGGAAAACTAGCTAAAAGATCGAAAAAAGGTAGACTCCATTGACACCAATTTAAAAGTGCTGATAATGTGAAAATACGAAGTAGAAATGATTTGTTATTGTGTTCTTATGGTTTAAAATCGTTACAGGATCCTATGGAAATAAAGGTGATGTTAAATATCCAGTTTTGAGGTGAATGCAGAAAATCGAAACAGAATGGAAAAATGAATTTAAAATAATGTAAAATGATACGTAAGTAGTATAACACTACATTTTCCCCCCGACCCTGGAAAATTTTTGACTCAGCAAAAATTTTGATATATACATTCTAAAATAAACCATAAAAACACAGCTTTGCAGAAACAGACATCACCAGGCAAAATCAGATATACCATCTCTTACATTCATCATCTGCCGTTCAGGTAAGGGTGGAGTTCACATTCAATGACTACCACTCTAAAAGTGTGTTTTCAAAACGACATTAAGGCTTATTTAAGGAGTAGTCATCCGCTCCTGCGTGGAAAAAAAAATAAATTAGTCGAAGAAACACCACTCTTAAAAGTGTGTTTTCGAAAGGACATTCAGGCTTATTTAAGGAGTTGTCATCCGCTCCTGCGTGAAGATAA